CCAGGCCACTGCAATAAAGTGAATATTGAAATATATAAACCCGTAATATTTTTGCTGGTGGAGAGTGTTGCCTTCAATTAGTAAAAACACATCTGTGTGTGCAGCTCAGTAAAGTGGTACTCAATAAAACAAAGGAGTTATGCCTGCAGTCTAGCCACTAGATGGTGGGGGTAGGAGAGAACCAGTCCATTGAGGCTGTGTGCAAGCAAATAACACTTGAAGTATTAGTATTATATAAAACTTAACACTTGAAGTATTAGTATTATATGAAACTTAGAGGCCCAGTGCATGAACATTCATGCACTGGAGGGGCGGGGGTCCCTCAGCCCGGCATGCCCCCTCTCACAGTCCGGGAGCCCTTAGGGGCCAGAGGCGACCCAGCGATCAGGGGAAGGCGATGTCCCATCACAACCGACAGTCGGACATGCCTCTCACAATGTTGTTGCTGCTGCTGCTGCTGTTGCTCCGTGGCATCTCTCTGTGCTGTGGTTCATACTCGCCACGCTGGGGTTGCGCCCCGGGTTCATGATGTTCAAGGCCTGGCCCTGGGGGTTCAGGCCTCCCATGGCTTGCTGCTGCAGAGGGACAGCAGGTCGTGGCCCGCTGGCTTGCATGGCATTCAGGTTCAGCAGGCTGGGCTAGACTGAAGGCCGGGCTGGCTGGCCGCTTGCTTGGCTGTGTGCTATTTGATGAGAGCTGCCATCAGCTGAGGGTTTGATTTGAGGATGTTGAGCATGTGCTGCTGCTGGAGGAGTTGGGAGACTTCATGGTTCACAGCAGGTCCTGCAGGGCACCTGGAGAGATGTTCTGAGGTGGCTGCACCCTGGGTCTACATAGACATCATGGGTCTGGGCATGCTTCACATTGGCTATTGCTGGGGGATCGGTGCCAGCTGCCACTGCCAGGGCTCAGGGGGCAGAATAACAGGCCCACTGACTTGGTTGGGTCACATTCAGGCCCATGGGGGCCACCTGGCTCTCAGGAGTCATTGTGCCTCAGGGGCATACTGTTGCTGGTGCTCACCCAGTACAGATGCTGCTGATGTGCCTCACTTGCAATCTGCTGGGCACTTCCACTGCTGCAGGTGGGCCTGGGCAGGGGAGCGGTGGGGCTGGCACCTGGTTAGTGGGCTTCCCAGTGCAAACTGTGGTGGGGGGCTGAGATCTGGCCACGCTGGAGAAGCTGGCTAGTGACATGCTCACAGGCAAGGTCTGGGGCAGAGTCAGGGGCTGTGGTGTTCAGGGTGTGCTGGGATGCAGTGTGGGGGGCCAGGGTGGTGTGAAGGAGGGGAAGGCAGACTCGGCTGAGGCATGGTGTGGGTGTTGATGGTGGCATCCGCTGGTGCATGAGCTACGCGTGCTGCCGGCGGTGCTGTGTTTTCTGCTGGCGGAGCTTCTGCTTGATGTTGAGGTTGTAGGGAATGGGGCATGTGTTTTCTTGGCAGTGTTTGGCACGGTAGCACCAAAGGGCCATGAACTGCTTGCACACTCTGCAACCTCCATTGGTCTTGCGCTGGCAGCCCTTGGTGTGCTGCACAACCCACCTCACCTTCTGGCAGATGGCTGCGGGCAGTTGGTGTTGCGGTACTGGCGGGCATGCCGCAGGGACGGGATGCAGCACTGGATGGCCTGATGCCACCACTCCCGGAGGCTCCTGAACTGCAGTGCACCTGCCACCCCTGTGGGAGCAGAGGCAGCCCTACCTCCTCCGCTTCCGCTCCCCCGCATCCTCCACTCTGGCTCCGCAGTGGCGGTTACGGCCTCCTCCCCAATGGCTCCCTTGGTGGCATCAGTGCTGTTTCCTGAGCAGCCAGCAGAAGAGCTCTCAGGGCCCCCTCCTGCCCGGACTCGCCAAGAAACAGGCTGTTTTGGAGCCAACTTTTATTATACTTGCCGCGGTGACGAAGCAAGCATCCCGCCAGGCTGCTCACGCTGCCTGTTCTCGGTGGCTGCCCCCTGGGACTGGAGGACTCCGGTGGGTCTGAGAGGACTGGGTGCCACCATCTTGTGGTTATGGGTGCTGCCATCTTAGTGACGGAGTGATGGTTAATTTGCATATTACCCTTTTATTAGATGGGATGATATATGATTTAGATGGTATGGATCTTGTCCTTACTCTCTAAGGATACATAAATCATCCAGCAAGGGAAAGCTCCCTAGTGGAATAAGGAGTAATGCTTGAAAATGAAAGGTTCGGAGTAGGCTGGGGTTGAGCACCTAGTATGTGAGGCCATAATGTATCAAAAAAGATTTTATTCCCGACACCTGGGTGCAGGTGGGCTGAGACCGAGAAAGGCATCAGTGAAGAGAGCAGGGAGAGATAGGTTTTTAATTTTTGCTGCTGACTGTAAGCCGCTCTGCTGATGTAAGGGTCTGGTCCATCCTTGGTTCCTCCCATGCCGGGTGTCTTCTGGTTATCTGAGCTATGCTGTGCTCAAGGCTACAAGCTTTCTGCTAAGCAACAATAAGTTTTTCTCTGCCCCGTTTTATTTCCTTTAACCCTTCGCGGTCCAATTTTATTTTTGGAATTCAAACAGTCTGGTCCAAATTAATTGATGGGATTGAATGTTGAACCGGTTTGCAGTGTCGACCTCAGCCTCGATGTTGGACCTGATCCTAGCACCTGGTCTGTCAAGTCAGCCTCCACCTTGGACCGAAAAGGGTTAACCCTTTCAGAAATGCCTCTCCCAGCATGAGGAGGATAAAGGGTTGCAGTGGGACAGTGACAATGTAATCTAGAGACATGCATGTGTAAAGCAAGGAGACAGGAAAGAACATTTTTTATGTTTCTGTTCTGTGGGTGAGCCAAGGTAGTAAGAAAGTTGGAGCTTAAAAAGTTTGAAACCCCAGATACAAGCAATAGCAGACAAGGAAAGGCACTATGCTATGCTAAAGAGTTTTGACTTTATTTTTCATATGAAAGAGGAAGTGATTTGCTGTTAAATTAATAAGTGATATAATTAATTCCCATTTAGGAAAATATTTCTGGTAGATAGGGGAAGTTATAGAGAACCAGTTTAGAAACTTAATGCAGTAAGTCATGTAAGAAGCAGTGAGTACCTAGAGAAAGTTAACTCTTGTCCAAGAAACATCAAGGAAATAGAGATTAAAGAGTTTGGTACCAATCAGAGGGGAGAAGGTTGGGGAATTGGGTGAAAAGGTGAGGGGATTTAACAAAGAAAAAAAAAACCTCATTGACACAGAAAACAATATAGTGATTACCACACTGAAAGACGTGGTGGGAGGTAGAAGAATGTAAAGGGGGGATAAATGGTAATGGAAGGAGACTTGACTTGGGGTGGTGAACACATAATATAATATATAAATGACATTATAGAATTACACGCCTGAAACCTATATAATTTTATTAACCAATGGCATCCCAATCAATTCAATAAAAAATAAAAAAATTAAAAAAGAGTTTAGTACCAGATTTGGTTTCTAGTGAACAAGAACTGAGAGCATAGGATGACTTCCTGTTCATTTTAGAAAACATACTGGGAGAAATAGGTAGAAGTAAGTCTTTGGTGTAGGGGAAAGGTTGTTGAAATAAAGATTTATTATAGGCAACTCTCACTAACACCAGAGAGGTGTCACTGGACAGCCCCCTGAGCCAGTGGCAGAGGGCTGTCCCCAACCTCGATCATTGTCTTCTCATACAAATGAGTTTATATGAGAGACCCTGACTGCAGGGGAAAGGTTGTTGAAATAAAGATTTATTATAGGCAGCTCTCACTAACACAGAGAGGTGTCACTGGACAGCCCCCTGAGCGAGTGGCAGAGGGCTGTCCCCAACCTCGATCCTTGTCTTCTCATACAATTGAGTTTATATGAGAGACCCTGACTGCATTGCGAAATCCAGTTTATTAAAACAATTAAGGCATGCATCTTTATTGAAAAAAAAGCAAAAGCAAAGCAAGCAAACCTACACATCTGGCTTACGAAGCACAGACAGGCTCTCAGCTAATCTGAAGAGCAAGTTTGGTTGGGGTCTGTGGCATCGTACACCCTCCTGAGTATAGTTCTCAACATTCTTTTGTTGAATAGTTTGGTATAGATTAAGTCTCAAGGTCCCCCCCCCTTTTCTTTTTTAACTTTGTTGTGGCCTTCCCAGAAATAATGAGAAGCACCGAGCAACTTTATCTTGCCAAGCATTGAGACTGCTGGATTCTCTGCTTAGGAAGTAAAATGGCCCTTTTTTCCTTTCCTTTTCCCCCCTTCCTTTCTGCATTCTCTCATTAGGGAGATTTTTTAAAACATTTGCTCTGTGTCCTTGGCTGGGGAAGATAATGGCTTGTTAGTTACAAGCTGGCTGCAAATTGCCCACAGTGTTTGGCCTTGTTTTAACTTTCCCGTCAGTTTCCCTATTCTTCCTGCCCTGGATTCTTACAACAGATTGAGTGTAAATGTCTATAGGACAAGGCTGAATATATGCTCAGTAAGTAGTTTTATTCATGGGTTGGAGCTTGGAAGACAGGTAAGATAAGCCATAGATGTGGCTAAGTGTACATGTAGAGAGTGAAGATTAAATGTCCACAGATTGCTAGTGAAAGGGACAAATGTTATAGTGGAATCATTAAAGATAAAGACTACAAATGACCATTGGTTTGAGAACTAATATTTAACTACAGCAAGGGAACAAATGGTAAAGTCTCTCTTTTAGAATGTAGGTATTTTTATTCCACTGATATGTATGCACAGGAATGGGTGAAAGAATTTAGGATGACCCCTAGGTTTCTGTCTTTGGGAACAAAATGGACAAATGGACATCCAAAGAAAAGGACTGAGATAAGGGAAAAACACAGGCGTGTGTATCATAATATTTTTGGATGAATTAGCTTATTTTGCAACTTAGAATATTATGAATTATCATAGTGTAGAGGAAATTTCACTTTCATTAGTCAGATGCAATTATCTCCCTCTGTGTGAAGCTGACTTTCCTTATCAAGAGCAAAGTGAAAGGGCTAAGCCTATTATGCTATCTCTTTGATGTTTTTATAGGATATAATGAAAGATGACTGCTCAATGCTGAAGCTGCAGCTGAAAGAGAAGGATGAACTCATTTCCCAACTTCGGGAAGAGCTGGTAAGTGATAATATTTGCCCCACAAGTGTGTTTTCTTTGCAAGATTATTTGCTATAAACCCTACAACAATTTATTTATTAATACTAATATTACTTATTTATAAATGGTTAGTGATTCAATCTGTTTATCAATTTTGTAATCCTGTGGTAATAAGGATTTGACAATCTGAAAAATTGCACGTTTTATATTATGTATTAAATTTGATATAATTTCAGAAACAGATCACTGAACCAAAGTTAGACATTTCATTTAAATCTATGAAAAATTGTGAAGGATACAGCCACATTTTACTTTGTAAAGTGCATAATTTAACTCTACTATATCTAGAGTTAAAAACACCTATATATATAAAACGCTAAGATGCAAATAGATCGAATGGTGGAACAGCGGAACAACCAGTCACTATGACGTGCGCTGACCACCAGGGGGCACACGTGGAAAATAGCGGGTGTCAGCATCAGGCAGCAGAGCACAGAACATGGCGGGCATTGGCCGTGGCAGGATGGTGGAGCGGGGGGCACCAGAACAAGGCGGGGAGCTGGTCACTGTCATGAGGGCAAGCCTCTGATGGTTACTGAAAATTCTTTGCTCCTTAGCACTGTGGTCCTGCCTGGTGCTCACACCTGCTGCCAGCGCCAGCCCCGCTCACACCCGCTGCCGGTGCCGGAGCTGCTGCTCGCACCTGCTACCAGCATCTGGTGCTAGTCCCAATCACTCCGCACCATCAGTAGGTGAGAGTGGGGCCAGAGCTGTAAGCACATGGGAGTAGTGGCAGCGGTTGCAGTGGGAGTGGGGCTGCTGGCATACAGGGACCAGGCACCACGGTGGGAGGGGCTGGCGGGGGTGCACCTGCCTGGTGCTCACACCTGCTGCCAGCGCCAGCCCTGCTCACACCCGCTGCCGGCGCCGGAGCTGCTGCTCGCACCTGCTACCAGAGTCTGGTGCTAGTCCCAATCACTCCGCACCATCAGTGGGTGTGAGCAGGGCCAGAGCTGTAAGCGTGTGGGAGTGGTGGCAGCAGTGGCAGTAGGAGCGGGGCTGCTGGCAGACAGGGACCAGGCACCATGGTGGGAGGGGCCGGCGGGGGTGCAGAGGATGGACCGAGACCTTCTCCTGTGCCCACCACATCCTTGTGGCCCACAGTTCCTTTCAAAGTGCATGAATTCATGCACTGGGCCCCTAGTGTAATATAAAGCAAATTACTCATTCATCCTGCAAACAAAACCAGATTTTACTTTTTATTTTCATAAAATTACCAATGATACTTATTAATATAGATATTATTTTATATAAACCCCAGATTAAAATATCATACAGCCTAACTGGTTTGACTCAGTGGAAAGAGCGTCGGCCTGCGGACTGAAAGGTCCCAGGTTCGATTCCAGTCAAGGGCATGTACCTTGGTTGCGGGCACATTCCTAGTGGGAAGTGTGCAGGAGGCAGCTGATCAGTGTTTCTCTCTCATCGATGTTTCTAACTCTATCCCTCTCCCTTCCTCTCTGTAAAAAAAATGATAAAATATTAAAAAAAGAAAATATCATACAGAAGTATGAAATGTATATAGTTCATGTTTTCAGGGTGTGTTTTTTAAATGTGGTATCATAAAAAGGTAATCATACTTTTATAACATGAAAACACATATGGTAGGTACCAAGTACTGGGCATTACTTTTCAAAGTATGTGTTTTCAACTTATGATGGTTTCATATTTGACTAGAGATTTGATTACCTTAACAATAATGTATAATGTAATTATTAAATATAATTAAATGACAAAACAGATTTTATAGACCATTAAGCTTCTGAGAACGTTTAACATGTTGGTGAGATGGCAGGCAAATTTAGAGCATATTTTATTGACTCAGCAACTGACAGCATGTTACTGAGACTTGACCTTTATTTAGACCGTTCCATGATTGAAACAATGCTGATCATCGATCTCATGAGCATAGTGTTATTGCTGATTTAGAAATGTTTAAAATCCTTGTATAAGTGAACTTGAGCAGTTCAAACCCATGTTGTTTAAGGGTCAGCTTGTAGTCAATTTGGGTAATTCAAATTTAAAATAAAAAGATACACTTGTGCCTCATTTTACTAAGTCAGCCAACACAGGACTTTTCTTGGAGGAAGAGGTACTAAATTTAATTATAGCTATGTACCATTGGATCTGGAAGTAATAACTTCTTTCTCATTTTACTCAACAAATGAGGGACAAATATGTATTAAATATTAGAATATTAGAATGTCCTGGGGTTGTTTGTATATGTGGTGTGGCAACATTGAAGAGAAAAAGAAATGTTCTTTTCCGGAAGGAATTTTTTGTTTGGTAAACCTGAAAGAACTAGTTTACACATGGGTGATTATTCCCTACTGCTTTATAACAGAACAAAATCTCCTCTGCCCTGCTATGAGGTAATGTGAAGGGCATAGGCTAGTGGTGCCTATGTGGAATGGGGTATGTAAATAGTATTTTGTATATTGATAATAAATTATATCTTGTGTTGGTCTTACAAAGTGTGTCCACAAAAATGGAATAAGCCAAACAACATTTGAAATTATCAAGTTTAAGACTACTCACACATCAAATTAGATCTTTAAAATGTTTTTATTTTCCTCTTTTCTCTCCCGTACAAACTTACATGAATTTTGTTGAGCTGGTTGAGGACTTTTAGTGACTTCAGTTCTTTTATTAGTTGGTTTTCCTTTGAAAGGTATTTCTTCTCTTATGAAAGCTTATGTGTGGCTTGTATTTGCAAACCCTTAATCATGGTATTGTCTATTTATATTTAAATTATATGTAGTTTAAGATTTATTACACACTAGAGGCCTGGTGCATGGATTCGTGCACTGGTGGGTCCCACAGCCTGGCCTGTGACTTCTCACAATCTGGAACCCCTCAGGGGATGTCAGACTGCTGTTCCTGCCTGCAACTCCCGCTCCTCCCAGCCCCGCTGCACTTGCCACAGGCTCTCTCACAATCTGGAACCCCTCAGGGGATGTCGGACTGCTGCTCCTGCCTGCCGATCCCACTCCTCCCAGCCCTGCTGCACTTGCCACAGGCTCATGCCCAGTCAATCCTGATTGGGAGGGGCTTGCACCGCTGCAGGGTTCTTGCCAGCCATAGCCTTGCGTCTGGCGCCTGTTGGTCAGCTGAGTGGTGCTCCTGCTGTGGGAGTACACTGACCACCAGGGGGCAGCTCCTGCATTGAGTGTCTGTCCCCTGGTGGTCAGTGTGCATCATAGCAACCAGGTCGACTGGTCATTTGGTCATTCGTTCGGTCGCTTAGGCTTTTCATATATAGATTACTCATTGCTTTCCTTTTCATCTTATTCCATTATATAGACTCATCTGATTCATTTATGGTTTTTAGAATCCTTTCCCAAATGTTTCCTTTCAATGGGGATATTGATGATATGGTATCTAAATCTTTGAATATTTCTTTACCTTGAAAGATAAAGGATGCTGCCATGGATTGAATTGTATCCCCCCAAATTCATATGTTGAAGCCCTACGCCAATGTGACTGTGTATGGTATAGGGCTTTTAGAAGTTAATTAGGATTAAGTAAAGTGGTAAGTGTGGAGTCCTAAATTGATAGAATTTAGTGGCCTTGCACAGAGGAAAGGCCATGTGAAAACAAAAATGACAGCTGCCTACAAGCCAGGAGGAGACCCCTTAGTAGGACCTGACCATGTGGGAACCCTGATCTTGGACTTCTACCCTCCAGAACTATGAGAAAATTAACATTTTAAGAAATATATATATATGTATATTGCTTATTGATTTTAGAGAGAAAGGGAGAGAGAGAAACATCTATGATGAGAGAGAATCATCCATCAGCTGCCTCCTGCATACCCCATCCTGGGGATGAAGCCGACAACCCAGGAATGTGCCCTGATGAGGAATTGGACTGTGACCCCCTGGTTCATAGGTTGATGTCCGACCAATGAACCAGTAGGACAGTCTTAACTTGTTTTTTAAGATACCTAGTCTGTGATATTTTGTTATGGCAGCCTGAGCTGACTAAGACAGATACCATGTCAAAGCATAGTATTTTTAGGTCTTGGTTCTTTTTTTTTAGTAAATAACATTCCATAATTTTTAAATTTGGGTGCTGCACATGACCTTTTTCCATGGTTTACCTAGGTGTGTGACTATTTTTCTTCCTTAATTATGACTGGTATCAGGAATCCTGTTCTGTCCATTCAAGTCTTCCTTCAAATTACA